CGACAGCCTTCAGGCTCTAACCCATACTAGACACCTCTTCTCACTGGCGAGAGACATGGAAGTGAATTGGGGTTCTAAGACAAAAGGTTGGTGCCTTCATCCTCATAATTTATCCCCTCCACAAGACCCATATGTGTCATGAGCAAGAAAGGAAGACGCCATTCGAATCTTGGGAGTGAGGCTAACGGCTTTAGGACCTCCACCTGACCATGGGGATATTCTGGTGAACACAGCCATAGACCGACTGGCAAGATGGGAAGGGTTGCACACATCGTTGGTTGGTCAGGCGCTGACAATCAACAACACTATACTGGCGGCAATATGGTACAAATTGGCGGTGTGACCACTGAAACCCCGGCAATATACCAGGCTGAGAAAAACACTCACAACATATCTATGGAAAAACACTGCTAAGGATGAAGGTTGCATAAGCAGGGTCAGTTGGGACACGCTCACACAACCTAGAGCCAAAGGGGCGCTGGGGATTTTGGAGCTGGAAAGGGAGAGTGAGGCTATGATATTTACGGTGCTAATTAGACTCCTTGTCAGAAACAGCATCCCATGGGCCCCCTTGGCCTGTGTTCAGATAAGTGGTCTGGCACCCGAGTCTACACCCCCCTATCGGGTGCATCCCCTCCAATGGTTAACCAACAGCCACTGGACAATCTCGGGTCTTCACCGTAACAGATATATGACAGATGTGGCACGGGCCACCAGCGAGGACATCCCCCATGACCCCCTCTGGCCAAACATGCTAAAACTTTGGAGGAAACACGACCCCAAGCAAAAGTGTCCACCCAACAAATGGCACTCCATACAGAGACAACCGCTATTCGGCAATCCCTTCATTTTGGACGATGATGGCAGCCCATTTCTGCTCACATCCAATTCCTACTGCCGTTACCGATGATGGGGACAACTGGACACCTGGTGGCCACTGTACTGAACAACCGGTATGAGGACAGGATTGCCAGCTTGCATGGGCATGGGAGAGTACAAATATTGAAGAGACGCAGCTATCACCCATTAGTGACCTCCAAGACTTCCCGCTGCCAGCTCTGTCCGGAGAACAGTGCTTTGACTATTCAACCGGGATTCCCACTCATTCAGGGGCCCATCTGGTGTGAAAGTGAAGACGGTTAAATCTCGCAGCTTCTAAAGATGGGGAGGAGATAGTGGACTGAGGTGACAGGGGCTATCCACAGGGCTTAATACAGGATTGCGGTAAGAGTCAGACACCAATATGAAACAAATTAGGCACACAGGGAATACAGTTGTGGGCTACTCACAGGATCGGCAGCATGGTCTAAAGTTAGTTCAGGCTCTGCTAAGGATAATGCTGGGAGGGTTTGGGGTTTAAAAAAAAATAAACAAAAGTTGATGGAGCAGCCCAACAAAGAAACCTCAATCCTGGTGGCTCTTTCACCACCACCGAGATAGAGGGGCTGAGCAGTGTAGAAATTTGTAGAAGGGCTTAAGAAATACGGACAACAAGACACAGGGGGGCTGCAGACACCTGGAAGAAGTCTGAGGTCAAAGGGGCGACTGGATCACAAGGGGACCTAGGAACAGGAAAGAACAGCAGACATCTTCTAGGAGCAGGCTGGGCTAGATGATTAGGAGTCCCACAAGGGAAGGGTAAATTAGCAGCTCCATGGGATCGAGGGTGCTCTACAGGAGAAGTGTAAATGGCCACAGGCCCAGCATTGCATCCTATTGTTGTGTCTATGGGACGCTGGACCCGGTTTCCAGCAGGTGCTGCTCCCCACCAATAGATGGAGCAACCCAACGCCCAAAGCCTCAATCCTGGCGGTTCTCTTACCACTGCTGGGATAGAGGCCTTGCAAGCTGGTTTTCGGGAAGAAAAAAAAAATAGTATAAGTCGATAGTAGATGTAGATAGTGGGAGTGGTTAAAGTACAAGTAGATGGTAGAAGTACAAGCGGAAGTGCGAGCATTGGGTTGCTGTTGCTGCTTCGAGATGGCATTACCTTGCTCCCGCCATAGCCTCGTGCTGTTGGACTGATGTTGGGAGCCCGGTCATGGAGGAGGTGGCGGCGCTTGACAGGCAGGATCCGAGTCAGTGCGGTGAGCCACATCCAAATAACTGGTCAGGGACTTTGCCCCCTGATATCGATATGGAGACGTGTATTCAATGGTGGCATCTGAATGAAAACCTGCCTCACAGTGGTTCCTCGATTGGTGGTTGAGCAAAGCCGCCAGAGCTTTTTTGCATCTCCTGCTGGCGGTCATCGAAAGCAGGAAAGGTTGCAATGATGGACACAAGAGCCCTGGAAACAGGTGAGGATTGCTGATGGTAGAGATATGGTGATTGGATGAAGAGCAACAGACCATGGTCGCACTATTTGGTGCTCGTGTTGTTTTTTTTCTTCAAATGGTTTGGCGGTGGTGTTTGTTTCAACAATATCACCAACAAATTTGCATTTACAATTCGCCGTAAAGGATTTAGATTGCAGACTGTTTGGAGCCCCTCTGCTGGCTATGGAGCACCGGCGCAGCACGCTTTTGTCCGTCCGGGGATTGCTGCGGTGGCATCAGCGAGGGACCATTTTTTTGCCATTTCGGGTGGAGAAGAATTTGGGCAAACGCGTCGACAGATACCGCCGCTGTAAGGCGTGTGGGGTGGTTCTTGGCCCTTTGGCTTCTATTTCATACACAGAGTACATACCCCCTTTGGATTCTATTTCATACAGAGTACATACCTCGGAACGCATTTCGGTGGCTCACCTCCCCCCATACCTTGGAAGGCCTTTGGGTTGCTTACACCTCCCCCCGCCCCCCACTTTCTTCGGCCGGCATTGCCTTATTAACAATTGTGTAATAGGTCGCCGTCTTTTTTTTGTTGTTGTTTTTTTAACCACAAGTACCTGCAGGCCTCCAAATTTCAAGTCGTAGCCTACAAGATAAAGTGTCAGGAGGCTGGGCCCGCCGTCGATAAAATCCACTGGCGTTGGCGGTGCATTACAGGCCTCCGCACTTTGTGGAGCCTTTCGGTGACAGGCGTGCTGCAGGCCTCCAAATTTCAAGTAGTAGCCTACAAGATGAAGTGTCAGGAGGCTGGGACCGCCGTCGATAAAATCCATTGGCGGTAGCGGTGCATTACAGGCCTCCGCACTTTGTGGAGCCTTTTCGGTCACAGCCATGCTGCAGGTAGTGGTGGTGTAAAGCAAGCAATTGTGTGAATTGATTGCCGGCCGTGTGATTTGTACAAAACTTGTTTGCTTACCTTCTTGAGTGTAACGGCCTGTGCTCACAGCTTGTATTTCTGTGATTACTTAGGGCATCACGTTCGGTGCTTCTGCAGCATTGTTTTGCTGTTTGGTTAATTAGGTGTGCTCGCTCATTCTCGCAGAGAGTAGGGGGTTGTAGTTAGGGTAGTCCTATAACTTCGGGCCTTAGCTAGGGTTACTTGGTGATTAGGCGATTGTGATTCGGTAGGTTCACTTATTTATGGTGGAGTGTATGGGATGGCAATTGGGGTTTCCACATCATTTTGAAATCTAGCTAGGAGCCAAGCGCCATTGACTAATCAGGGGATTGTAATTACTAGTTAGAGGTCTCTAATAATTGGTCCATTAGGGGATACCTGTCATCACAGGAGTTAGTTCAAGTTGTCGCGTAATTGAGGGATTGCAAGTAGTATTTGCTCTTTTTTTTTTTTTTTAAACACGCACCGCACCCCCTGCAATGCTAGTGGTGCTGGTAAGAGCAGACACCGCTAGCACCCGGGGGGTGCTCCATCTATTGGTGGGGAGCATCACCCAATTAGTATTTGCTCATTACCAGGGGATGGGATTTTGTTTTTCTGTTGGTGGGAGGTGGTCCTGACATCTGGCGGGCCAGTTTGCTTGGCGCATGTAAGGGCTGTTGGGCCCGGTAGCCAGCTATTCGAATATAGACGACGCTACAGCGACGTTCCCTGGCCCTCAACTGGGAAGACGACCCAGGCAACCAAGTGGTGACCCCCGCGCGCCCAATTGATAACACAGCACCGAAGAGTAAAACGCCAAAAAGAGGGAATTCACGCATTCTGATTTTTCTTCCTTCTTTGCCAGCGCTATAAAAATGTGCATTGCTCGCATAAAACACAAATCTAGGGTTTATGAAAACCTGCGAAGCTGTCTGCCACGCGGTCGAAATCACGTTTCGGCGGTTTCGCATATCAACGACCAAATTGTCATGCCAAGCCATGCCCTCCTCTATTATGTACGCATACGATTCTGGGATGCCGGAGCCGTTTTCCAACTGGTGCACCTCCCCACGAATAGAATGGAGCATCCAGAATATGCACTAGGGGAGGTTGCTTCACACCCCCTAGTATCACGTGCTTGGTTTAGAAGAAGAAGAAGAAGGGAAAAAAAAAAAAAAAAAAAAAAAAAAAAACGCATACAATTCGCCTTTCCAGTTATATGCTTTCCGATATTCGGAGGACACGAAGTGGGAGGGCCTGGGGGAGTAGCTGATAAGAAACGCGCAAAAAGCCAGCTCGTGGGAGGCTTTATCTCGAGTTATGCGCACCTTTGGCGATTAGGTGCAAAGGCTAAGTTTTCCTCTGAGACATCGCGGCACTAATAAAACTTGTAAAAGTGCATCTAGACAAGTCTTTCAGGTTACTATATAGAATTCCAACCTGACAGTTGCCAGGGATTTTTTATTTATTCCAAAGCGGTTGCTTTGGCCGAGCAACCGCACGAAGCATAGAATGCAAAAAGCGGTCAAAGCGCCCTACGAGGACGCAGAACACGTACACTTTTCTGGAAAAACTTGTCACAGTAATCTCTTTTCCTAACTACCACAAAAAGACTTCCAATAATCTCTTTTCATAACTACCACAAAAAGACTTCCAAAAGCCAATGCACAAATTAATTCTATCGAGTCTCATAGGAGGCCTGCAGAGACAAAAAAAATATCCTCTGGACTGGATGATCAATCAGCCAACTGCTGAAGGGACTGTCATATGCCTGCTGGCTAGCCTCCACAACAACCTGGAGTTTTTTACTGTTTCGCTAGAAGAATTGCCAGAGTATTCCGGTCGCAATTCGCATTGTATTTACACAACCCGCACACGGTCAGCTCCCAGCTCCTCAGAACATTATCACAGTACTTGCAAAGCTCAGCACATAGTCAGCACATACTCGCAGTACGACTTTCTTCAATGAACCTTGGAAGTAACTATGGACAGATACATCCTCCTGATCCATCTGTAGTTGCCGTCGGATACATCCAGGAAAACCCTGGTGTGAGTGGTGTGAGTGGTGCGAGTGATGAGAGTGGTGTGAGTGATGGGAGTGGTCCGAGTACCGCCCTCAGCTGTGCGTCCCCGCCACCCCGGTGCCAATCTTATGACCCCTGAATGATTTCCACAGCTTTCCACTCTCAGAATCAACTTTCAAACTTGTGATTGGTTGAAGAAACCAATGATATCTGCCTGCCGCCAAGGACTTCACCGCTGCTTTTACTCCATTACCCTCGCCGAACTCCGAAATTACAGGCCAACTGTGGCGGCAACCCTAATTACAACCCCCTTCAGTCCCCCACACAATTACGAAAACCCGCCTAATCAGCATAATCGCAATCTCCCAATTAGTAATTACTCAACAGCCCTCGCTAAATCCCGAAATTGTTGCGATATTATTCGATCAATTGTGAGCGCACAGTACAACCTAAGCATCCATAGCACACAAGAGCCATCCGTGGTCTTCGTCGCAAACATCACCAAACGCACAGAGGGTACAAACGAAAAAAAATTAGTAGAACGCCCTAGGCATTCCTCGTAGTTGCAAGAGAAAACAAGCGCCATGCAAAAGATACATGGAGCAGATTATACACATGGGCGGTGAGTAATAACCGATGGCGCGGCAAATGCCGGTTCACCCAGGCTTCACAAAGCCGTTCTGTCAAAAAGGAAAAAGAAGGGGAAATCCCCCACGACATAACCTCCCCCCTCTACCTCCCCTGCTCTCCCTTCCCCCTCCGCTGCCCCCTTCCGAAATCCCTCTCTTCCTCTCACAACCCCCTCTTCTCTCTCATCCATGGCCACTGATCCATGGCTCTAATCCACGGCTAAACAACAACCGCTGATGTTCCCGCAAGAAAACCGGAGAAATTAACAGAACAAAACTCTTTACTCAGTTTACTGTGGGAAAAAAACACGCCGAGAAAATTCAAATCGTAACGACGGTGTGGGTACTAATTTTTCTTGCACTAGACTATTTATCGGTTTCTCCCCCCTCCGCCCGTGCAGGCTCCACCGCCGCATCTCATCCCACCATGCTGATGTGAGATGGGCATGCGTTCCCACTTGTTTCAAAAGACTGATTGCACTATCCCTCACTCTCACCTCCCGCTCACCTCACTCTCCCCTACCTCTCACCCCTCTCTCCCTCCCCCMCCCCCCCMCCCCCCTCTCTGCCAAACACCACCTCCCTCCCCCCATCGCTCTCACAACTCCAACACTCTTTTGACGCGCTTGCCGCCATTTTGCCAATGGGTTGCTGCAGCAGCAGATATGGCACAGAAGGTGAAAAAGCAACTTCAACAACAAAGCCAGTTCCCATCCTCCCCTCCACCCATCTTTCTCTCGGAGCCATACCCCTCCCCCATCGCCAGTACCCCTCCTCTTTTTTGTTTTTTAATACCCCTTGTTTCCTCGTATGCGGGTTCGCATGTCGACCTGCAAGAACGAACAACAACGTAGAGAGAATAAAAAAAAAAAGAATGAGCAAGACATCAGGGAACTGCATGTACAAATGCATCTACAATTCACCCACACTGTTGGCTCACAAATCTTCCCCTCGGAGCGATGGAAAAGACTATATGGATCACAAGACATTGCAGGCGATGAAAAGTTGAAAATTCATCATTATTAAAGAGGCATTTAACAGAAGAAATTAAAAGTTAAAACTCGTGAATCGAGATCGTTTTTTGGCTAAAGTACATAGATTTAATAGAGCTATTCTCTTTAGGTTGACAGGTTAGAATCATTGACTGATTATTTTTAATTTATTAGACGATCATCATTTTTAGTTGATGTCATACTTGCGGCGCATTAGTGCGGTGCGCTGCGCCGTGCGGAATGCGCGCGGTGACACCGCGCGTGCATGTGCGCGCGCATGCACACGAGGTGCGCCGTGCGCGCAGCGCATGGGGACGCGCTACCCCTGCAAGGTGCGCGCTGTGCGCCATGCCTCTTTTCGGCGTGTGTGTGTGTGTGTGTGTGTGTGTGTGAGAGAGAGAGAGAGAGAGAGAAAGAGAGAGAGAGAAGAAACCGTGTGCTGACACTATCGGACCGAAGAAACCGCCCTTATCAACGGGCAACATGAATCCGGAAGCGGGGCGACATGCACAAAGGACAAAAAATATGGCGGTGTATCTTTCCATGTCCTGGCGGAAGATTCATTCATACGTTGGGTGGTGGAGAGCGAAGGGCCGATGAATCAGGTAAGCACGTAACGTATCTCTGGAACCTTTCTTTTTTTTTTTTGGAGAATCTATGAACAAATGAGACTGAATCCTCCGCTTGAACATGGAAAGATACATTGCCATATATGTCTTGTTGTGCATATCGAGAGTAGTGCAGCAAGCCCGTTGGTGAACATTACCGTTGAGGTTCTGACAGGTTGGACGCGCCGGGCTTCACTCGTGCAAAGAAATTCTGATGTTCTTCCTTTACGTGTTTTTTTTTTATTAAAAAAAAAAAATCCAGGAAAAACGGCTGTCAGTTCCGTCGTTTTCTACTTCAGAAGTAATACTTTGAGAGATCGCGACCCTCATCATCACTGAATCTGGCCTGCAAGAACCCTACCATACAGACTGCAATTACCGTTGAGATTCTGACAGGTTGGACGTGCCAGGCGACACTCGTGCAAAGAAATTCTGATTTTCTTCCTTTACGTCTTTTTTTCTTTATTAAAAAAAAAAACATTCCAGGAAAAACGGCTGTCAGTTCCGTCGTTTTCTACTTCAGAAGTAATAAGAAGAGAATGTTTTGAGAAATCGCGACCCTCATCATGACTGAATCTGGCCTGCAAGAACCCTACCATACAGACTGCAATAACAATACCATACACACAGAGTGTTACCCGAACTACAGGTTACTAAAAGCTTTCAGGCCAACGCGCGGCCTCCAAAAAAAATTTGGCTGCCCGTTTCTTATTTTACGCGAGCAGGGGGCCGGGTCTACTACCGCCCCTCAGAACTTTTTTTTTTTTTTTTTCGACCCCCATTTTTGGAGGTGCGCCGCATGCAGTGCCTGCGCGTCGTGCGGGATGCGCGGTGCGTGCGCGCCGCACCGCGCAGTGCAGCGCATCGCGATGCGCCGCAAGTATGGTTGATGTTTTATTGGATGCATGCTCATGCAGCTGCATTGCGGCAGCATGCAGTGTGCCATGCACATGCACACTACAGTCTCTTCCCCCTAACACCATGCACCCTCATTTTGACTGTATCGGGCCAGAAACATACCTTGTATACGTTCATTTTCAGGATGCGTTATCGCATATAGGCCTTCTTTTTGCAGTACACTGACCTGCAGACCTGACAACTTCTGACCTGATAGCAGATCAACCGGTGCAACTTTTCCCAGCTGGCTAACTCCAAAGCATGCTGCGTCAGAGAGCAAGCAAGCCTACGAAACGCGTAACGGAAACAGACTGCCATCGTCCCTGGAATAAGCTGCGCGGTCGTATACGGCTATAATGCCCGGGACATTTTCTATGCAGGGGACAACAGTAGTAGACTATACTAGGCACCCATCCAGGCTATTATTTTCAGCATTTATAGACCCCTATACATCCGGCTGCGATAGTTCAAAGACCCCTTCCCAAAACCCCTCCCTCCTGCTGCACACCCCACCATTACACTCCCCCAAATCCCCCTCCCATCCCTTCCCCCCCCCCCCCCCCTCCTCCTTCAAAAAAATGTTGATGTCACCCTTCCGTGCTGTTATACATTGGCATATCCACATTCAAGCCTCGCATGCAAACGCCTCCTACACTACAAGGGGGTTCTTCCTTCGTTGTGTGACCCCCTCCATCCTCCTTTGTTGTTCGCCTCCTTTGGTAAACTGGGGTTAGCCGAAAGCATTCATGAGCAATGTGCATTCTGTTTGGGTGAAGATGTGTTGAAGGCTGCCGAAGACTGGCAAATTGTTTGTATGCATTCATGAGCAATGTGCATTCTGTTTGGGAGAAGATGTGTTGAAGGCTGGCGAAGAAGGCTAGCATGCATTGGCAAGCTGGCAGGACCAGTTGTACAGGCATTGTGATATTTGGTGGGTAAGGAACCGGGCCGTGTGGCTGAATGGTACACACATGTATGTCTGAGCCCCTTTTCCATTTCTACTGTTTGCCCACACAGATGAACACATGTTAGCAATCAGAGAATGAGTTCGAGTCCTGAGGGAATCACATGAGCACAACAGAGTTAAGTGGGTGAGTCAAGAGGGCAGACCATAAAAATGGAAAATGGGCTCCAACAGACTGCATATTCCGAACGTGAACTACCCGGTAGGGAGGAAGGGGGCCGAGACAGCTTCATACAGGACTGGACGGGTGACACTGTACTGCAGGAGTACCCCAATCGCAAAGAGAGATTTGTTGATGTCAACAAGAAAACAAAGAGGCAAACACACAGCAATCGTTGAGAAGGGGAAGAGACCCAGAACTAAGCCCATTCCGGACCTCGTCGGCACCTGAATCCAGTGCATAGTGATTCCCACCCATTGGGCGGGCCAGCAGGCCACTACAAGCCCAACGGGCCTGAAATTGGGTCCAAACAGGTCACAGGAGGCCAGGAGGCTAAAGCACCAATGCAGAAGGAAGCAGGTATATCCAAATCTACATGCAGGTATATCCAAATCTACATACCCTGGGTTCGAGACCAGGCTGTCATATCCAAATTCAGCATGGTCGGAGGCAGTTATATCCAAACTCAGCATGGTTCCAGACAGTTATATCCTAATTCAGCATAGTTCGAGCGAGTTATATCCAAATTCAGCATGGTTTGCAGCAGTTGTATCCGAATTCAGGATGGTTCAGCTCCCCCATTTTCCTTATTGTTATTTTCCATCCTTTGCCTCAGCTGCATGCCTTCAGCATACAAACATGCATACGACGTGATTTTCCCAATTAGGCAACAAACAAATCAGTAAATTACCCCCCCCCCTCCCCTTGAGAAGCCCGGGCCACAACGGGGAAAAGAGGAAAAAGGGGGTCCGGTGCAGGGAGAAGATCAACCAAGTTTCCAGACTCAATTACCTGACCCCTCTTGCATTTGTAGTACATGTCTCTGAGGCCTATACACCTCTCAGGGATAGACGTGGTCTCGCCCGCACACTCCCGGTACGATTTCTTCTCGACCTACAGTGCATAAACAACCCATAACAAACAAGATGATAGATCGCATGGTTATCCACACATATATAGCCCACCCATCTGCAACGGAAAATAGAGAGGATCACCATGCTTCATCTCACTTGGCTGCCATCACATCAGATTTACCAATCAAACACAGATCCACATATACTAACGAGCATATTCTGCACACCATCGCACACACAGCAAATCGATCTCATACTCGCAGCAGCAACGTGCTCTCTTTACAACCATGTAACTTCAGTTTACACGTTAGTTTATAAGTTTGTAACTTCAGTTCACACGTTTGTTTACAAGTTCATAACTTTAGTTTACACGTTAGTTTACAAGTTTGTAACTTTGGTTTACACGTTAGTTTACAAGTTCGTAACTTTAGTTTACAAGTTTGTACCTTTAGCTCACACGGTTTGTAACTTTAGTTTACACGTTAGTTTACAAGTTTGTAACTTTAGTTTACACGTCAGTTTACAAGTTCATAACTTTAGTTTACAAGTTTGTAACTTAGTTTACACGTCAGTTTACAAGTTTATAACTTTAGTTTACACGTCAGTTTACAAGTTTGTAACTTATGTCAGTTTACAAGTTTGTAACTTACGTCAGTTTACAAGTTTGTGACTTTAGTTTACACGGCTTGTACCTTTAGTTTACACGTTAGTTTACAAGTTTCTAACTTTAGTTTACACGTCAGTTTACAAATTCGTAACTTTAGTTTACACATCAGTTTACAAGTTTGTAACTTAGTAGTTTGTAACTTAGTTTACACGTCAGTTTACAAGTTTATAACTTTAGTTTACACGTCAATTTACAAGTTTGTAACTTAAGTTTACACGTTAGTTTACAAGTTTATAACTTTCGTTTACACGTCAGTTTACAAGTTTGTAACTTTAGTTTACACGGCTTGCACCTTTAGTTTACACGTTAGTTTACAAGTTTGTAACTTAAATTTACACGGTAACTTAAGTTTACACGTTAATTTACAAGTTTATAACTTTAGTACACATTAGTTTACAAGTTTGTAACTTAACACGTTAGTTTACAAGTTTGTAACTTTAGTTTATACAGCTTGTACTTTTAGTTTACACGTTAGTTTACAAGTTAGTTTACAAGTTTGTAACTTTAGTTTACACGTTAGTTTATAACTTTATAACTTTAGTTTACACGTTAGTTGACAAGTTTGTAACTTTGGTTTAATGTTTCTGACTTCAGTTAACATGTTTGAAACTTTGGTTTGCATGTTTGAAATTTTACTTTACATGTTAGTTCACATTTTAGTTCACATGTTTTAGTTTGTAAACTTCAGTCTACATTTTAGTCTGTAACTTCATATTATTTCATTTCCGTTTACATGTAAGTGTACATGTTTGCAACTTTAGTTTACATATTTGCGTACACAAATCTACATGTTTGTACCTTTAGTTTACATGTTCATTTAGATGATGTAACTTCAGTTTACATGTTAGTTTGTAACTTCACTTTATGTGATTTCAATTCACATGTTCGCATGTTCATTTACATGTTTCTAACTTCAATTTATATGTTAGTTTGTAACTTCAATTTATGTAATTCCAATTGACATGTTAGTTTACATGTTGCAACTTCAGTTTACATGTTGGTCTACACGTTTCTACCTTAAGTTTACATGTTGGTCTACATGTTTGTACCTTTAGTTTATATGTTTGTTTTTAGTTTACATGTTGGCCTATATGTTTGTACCTTTAATTTACATGCTTGTACTTTTAGTTTACATGCTTGTACTTTTAGTTTACATGCTTGTACTTTTAGTTTACATGTTTGTAGTTTTAGTTTACATGTTAGTTTACATGTTCGCAACTTTAGTTTACATGGCTGGTTACCATCACTTAGCCACATGGATTGGTGTTTTTAGTGAACCGTTTCCCTTTGGGGTTTCATAAACTTTCTTTCAATTCCCCCCCCTCATTTAAGAAACTCTCTTTCCATTCCTTCCCSCCCCCCCCCCCCCCCCCACTTCACAAAGACAGCCCCTATCATTAATACACATACTCATTTGCTTCCATTTCATCAAGATTCGAACTCAAGACCAATCCGTCTTCCAATGGACAAAGAGTGAGCATACACGCTTGTAATTTTGTGCCATCATCTGCCACATCACATAAGCTGGGTTTTGGATAAGGCATCTTTACTACATAGGATTTCGAATTTCGATACATGGAATTTATAAAATTGCTTAACTCCCCTCTTAAGTGAAATTCGAGATCCGAAAAGCATCTACCAACCCCCACGAACCTTAGACCAGCTCTCATTAACCATTCCCCCACCTCTCATTAACGTTTCCCCGACATATTAGGGCACATTCACAGCCTTCTCCGTGCCCCCCCCTCCCCTCTCCCTGTCCCATCATCAGGAACATATACAATCCCTGTTCTGTTCCAAATGCATTCAGCATCACAAGGAGTTGCCTTGTATTCAGGGGAAGATGGCAGCTCCAAAGATCACCTTTAGGCTGAGAAAGGGGTGAGGGGACACAGACTGGCGGCGTGCGGGGGAGGGGGGGGGAGGTTGGACTGGTGGGAGAGGTGGACTCGAGAAGGGGGTGGCGGTGGAAGGGTGGGCATTGCTAATGTGTGCAATTAAAGAGTGGGGTAAGGTTGAAATTGCTGAATCATCCGTTGGATAGCCCTAGAATGGTCCATGACTAATTCAATAGGTTAAAAACATGAAATAGTTAGGTTCGTGCTATTTTTAGCACAATAGACATAGCATCAGTGGGATAAAATTGAACTATCCTTCTAGCTCAGTTGCTGGGCAATAAACATAGCATCAGTGGGGTAGAATTGAACTATCCTTCTAGCTCAGTTGGTACACCCATCAACTGTTGACACAGACCCAAGTTCGAATCCGCATGCAATCAGATGAGCAGAACAAAATACTTCTGAATTACGTGGGGCCTGTCAATTCAATGATGAGAATAATAATAATAAAAAGAAATCCTGTTTATCGGACTTTATATCTGATAAACAGGATTTCTTTTTATTATTATTATATCCGTTGACGATCTGATTTAGTTTCTCAGTTCAATAATCCATCCACCAGGGCCCACGTCCCACTTGCAGCGTTCAGTTTCCTCAACGGTTGAATCTGGACGTGTTTGTGGAGATGTGCCGTTGAGGAAACTCAACGCCATTTCTGCACATCTCCACAAAACTCAACGCCATTTCTGCACATCTCCACAAACGCATCCAGATTCCGGCGTTGACGAAACTCGGACTTGGCCCCCGGATAAACTTAGAACTGAAGTATGTTCCATGAGGATTAACTGAAAGTTCAAAATTGAACTCATCAGGATAAACTTAAATTTGAACTCATCAGGATGAACTTTTTTTTTTTTTTTTTTTTTTTTTTGGCAACCCCACAACGTTTTTTTTTTTTTTTCGAATTGAACTCCGTTGCATCAAGATTAACTGAAAATTGAACTCATCAGGAAAAACTTAAATTTGAACTCGTCAGGATGATTTTTTTATTTTTTTTTTGGGTGACGTAGAAAAACTAAGAACAAGTCACTCTAATTAAGATGTATAAGGGACGCTGACCCGGTTTTTTTCCCAGCAGGTGCAGCTCCCCACCAATCAATAGATTGGACTCGTTGGAGCACCAGCAGAAGGCCTGCTCGAGGTGGCTGCTATTATCACCTCCCCCAACAGGTCCTGAAACTGGATTAACCTCCCCCGAAAACAAAAAAGAAGGATGAACTTCAAATTGAGCTACGTTCCATCAGGACGAACTTCAAAAAAAAAAAGAACTATGTTGGTGCATTGGAAGTGGACAGAATTAGATGTGAGCGTTGTCTGAAATTTCAAAGTAAGAAACACCAAAGAAAAATTGCAAATGGACGAGATTGTAGAGGGAGAGG